TGCTCCGCGGTCGACAAGGGAAGCCCTTGTCAACCGCCCCGTTATGCCTTGTGGAATGAGGTTTACCAAGGTGGTCGACGAGGGCTTCCCTTGTCGACCGCGGAGCATCCAGACGACCGCTCTGTGCCGCCAAACAGCTGATCGGCACAGCGCGGCAGCCATTTTGATGTAAATTAAGCAGAGATTATTTAAATCCATCATTTTCCTTTTTCGAGTACACTAATCTACATGGCTCCGTCGACGGAGCCATGTAGTTTAGACATACCCGGAGTGTGAGCAAAGGCCACAGGAACAGCCCAAAGACATACGGATACAGATGGCTCATAAAATCACACGTGAGTTAACACAAGTTCCACACACCTGGGCTTTACCCAGGCAGCCTGGTTTGTGGTCTCTGTGTCTGGCACCATTAGGGCTGCCAGGTGGCTGGTTTTCAACAGGACACTCTAGTTGAAAAGGGGACCGGGCACTGTCCAGTTACTGCAGGGGCGGTGGGATTTTGATTCACCGATGCCTCTGCTCAGCCAGTCACTGCCCATCTGCAAACAGGCTGCTTGTCACAAAGCACCAGCTCCCAACTGAGCACAGGAGCAGAGAGAAACCATCTGGGCAGGGGCCCCACGTAGAGGAGTTGGGAGAATTGTAGCCCCCCAATATGTAGCCCCCCCATATGACACTGTAGCAAAAAAGGCAAACGTGATTTTGTGAGGCATTAACAGGAGTGTTGTGAGCAAGACAGGAGGAGTCATTCTTCCGTTCTACTCTGCGCTGACTAGGCCTCAGTGGGAGTGTTGTGTCCAGTTCTGGGCACCACATTTCAAGAACGATGTGGAGAAATTGGAGAGGGTCCAGAGAGGAGCAATGAGAATGATGGACGGTCTAGAGAACATGAGCGATGCGGGAAGGCTGATAGAACTGGGCTTCTTTAGTTTGGAAAGGAGCAGACTGAGAGGGGACACGATAGCAGCTTTCAAGTATCTAACAGGGTGTCACAGGGAGGAGGGAGAAAACTTGTTCATCTAGGCCTCTGAGGACAGGACAAGAAGCAAGGGGCTGAAACTGCAGCAGGGGAGGTTTAGGGAAAATTCCTGCCTGCCAGGGGGATGAAACACGGGAATAAGTTGCCAGGGGAGGTTGTGGAATCTCTGCCCCTGGAGACGGTGTCTGGCCCTGTGGGGAGGGCAGGGGGCTGGACTTGATGCCTCTCAGGGTCCCTTCCTGTTCTGTGATTCTGTGATTTTATGAATTGTCACTTCTGGTCCCTGAACTTCATGGCTCACTTGGTGTGACGGCGCGTTGGGGGTCCCCCGTCTCCTGCACCCTGAAATGGCACAAACAGACTGCACCAGCCGGTGGAATTGAGGAAGTTTATTGCCTCTCCAGGGTACAGCACAGCACAGATGGAATCTGGTCACAGAGCTGGGCTAGGATGCCTCAGGCCCCCTTGAGATGGGGGAGACTGGGCCCCTAAACTCCAGCCCCTTTCCCTAGGCTGTCTCCTCCATGCCCCCAGCCCACAGCCAAACTCACTCTCTTCCAGCCCTGCCCCCCAGCCAGGGCAGCCTCCACCTTCCTTTGTTCCTCTCCATGGGGGTGTCTGGTTCAACAAGTTTGGCATCACCTTTGCATAGTGAGGTTTTCCCTGCTGGGTCTTGCTCCAGACAGCAGAGGTCACCACAGCCCA